GTGGGAGGAGAGTACTAAGAGTCTACTAGAAAGGGAGTCACTTCAGGGTCAGAGAGAAACCTTGTGCAAGGGAAACACCCAGAAATCTACAAGGATCACGCCAGCTAAGCATCCTTGCAAAAGGGGTTACATAGCCTGAAGTAGCCTTCTCCTGTGATCAGGCCTAACTACCAGTGGAGAGATAGGGAAATTCAATCACGTAACCTTCGATCTGTCCAGCCTATGGAATGTGCTGGGATAAAGGTGACACAGAGATAGTAGGGGTGGCCAACCAATGACTGGTCCAGTCTGAGACCCATACCTTGAGAGCAAGCCTATCCCCAACACTGCCTAGAGTGCCAGGATGTAGAAGCTGGATTGCTCAGAGACCTAAAATAGAACCAAACACAACTTAAACAAAATTACATCAATGTAATGATGGCTAAAGCTATTCTTCTATATTCATAGATTGGCTAATAGTCATCATAGGGGTTTCATCCAGCAACTGACAGAAACAGATGCAGAGACCCACAGTCAAGCATTAGGTCAAGCTCAGGATATCCTGTGGAAGAGAAAGAAGAAAGCTTGTAGGAGCCAGAAGGGTCAGGGACAACCTGTGAAGGTTCACACAATCAACTAACCTAGGCCCATAGGGGCCCATAGAGACTGAACCATCAACCAGGAAGCCTGCATAGGACTGACCTAGGCCTTCTACATATATGTTACAGCTGTGTAGCTTGGTCCTCTTGTGGGACCCCTACCAGTGGGAGAAGGAGCTGTCTCTTACTCTTTTACTAGCTTTTGTTACCCTACTCCTCATATTGGGGGTACATGGGGAGGTGCTTAGTCTTCTACAACTTGATATACTGTATTAGTTGGGGTTTCTATTACTGTGAAGAGACACCAAGGCCATGGAAGCTCTTATAAAGGAAAACATTTAAATGAGGTTGTGACTTAACAGTTTCAGAGGTTTAGTCCACTGTCATTATGGTGGAACTTGGTAGTGTGCAGCAGCTGAAGAAATAGCTGAGAGTTCTACATCTTACAGGAAACAGGAGACAGTCTGAGACACAGGGTAGTATATTGAGCATATATGATACCTCAAAGACAGCCTCCACAGTGACACACTTCCTCCAACAAGGTCACATCTACTCCACAAGGCCACACCTCCTAACAGTGCCACTCCCTTTTGGAGACATTTTTCTTTCAAACTACCATATATACCATATTTTGTCAATTTCCAAGGAAGATCTGCCCTTTTCTGAATAAAAACAGAGGAGGGGTAGATGGAGGTGCAAAGGGGAGGTATAAGGGAGAAACTGGGAGGAGAGGATAAAGAGGAAACAGCAGTTAAGGTTATAAAAAATAAAAGAAAACAAAGTAATTTGTTTCCCAAGTGAGGTTCCCATGGACAAAAAAAAATTTATTTTCAAATGCCTACCAGTTGCAGATAGCTTCTGGGTTTCTTGTCCCCTTTCTTAGTCTCCTTTCCTTTTGTTTGTTTTGTCCTACTCTGATGTGTGCATTTTTGTTTTATCATATTATATTAGATTGTATTTTATTGTTATCCCTTAGAAGTCTATTTGTTTTTTAATGAGAGACAAAATGAGATTGGAACTGGGTGGGAGAGAAAAAGTGTGAGGGGTAGAGGAATGGGAAACCACAAATCAGGATATATAATATGAGGGGACTCTATTTTCAGTAAAAGAATAAAGTAATAATAAAGGGAAGGGAGAAGTGTTATAACCTCAAAATGAGAAAATTATGCATCACCTATCAAAAGTCTGTTCAAAATTTAAAGCCACCAATGTATTCAATAATTGGTTAAGTCAGAATCTTTATGACCTAATCATCTCTGAAAATGCCATCACAAACAAACATTGGTATATATTTTACTAATCTTATAGGCATCTTTCAAACAAATTAAGTTGTCATTCAAAATTTAACCATTATAACTTCATATCCATGGGAAATTAGTTTTTGGAACTTTCACAAGTACCAAAATCCATGAATACTCAAGATCCTCACATAAAATAGAGTAGTAGCTGCACTGAATCTTAAGGCATAGTTATACTTATTCTTATCTCTAGATGAGTTATAACACATACATAATATACATACATATATATATATATATATATATATTAGGAAATGGCAAAGAAAATACCTGTACTATCCAATTTAGGCACATTATTTTTCTGAAGATTTTCAAGCTCAGGGCATGGCTTTCAGATACCACAATGATGACAGTTCAGCAAATTAGCTTCCTGCTGGAGGTCACACTAGTCATGATAAGAAAGGTCTTATGCTGGTTGTGGTGGAACTCACTGGTAGGATTTGCTGAAGGAGGTGGAGGCAAGAGGATCATGAGTTCAAGGCCAGCATGGGCCGCACATTAAAAAAAGAAAGAAAGAAAGGTCTTATACTGTTGGAAAGTTCAGGGTCTGGACACAAATGCTGACTACAGATAAAAGACAACTCTTTTTTTAATTAATTTACTTATTTTTTTAAAAAAATAAAACAATCATTTTTCATTTTACATACCCATCCCAGTTCCCACTCCTGCCCCTTCTCCCCTTCCTCCCACCCCATGCCCCATCCATTCCCCAGAGAGGGTAAGGCACATTGCTTTGGGGAAGGTTCAAGGCCTTCCCTACTATATCTAGGCTGGGCAAGGTATCAAGAAACAAAGAGAAGGAAACAGGGGTATTAAAGATTTATAATGTCTACAGACAACCCAAAAGTATATGTACTTCTTACTTGCATTGTCTTTTCATCTTGTATGAGCGCTTTCGGCAAATCCTTTGTATCGCCTAATACCCGTTATGTAGAGCCAAAAGAGCCCTGTCCTTAAGAGTCATCGGGCCTAGTAATCTGTAAAGACCCTACCTTAGTTTACCCTCCTTCCCAATGCCATTCCTTTCTACCCACACTGTTCACTGCTTTTAAGGCAATTGTATCCAGAGAACAATGAAGCTCAGTGCTGATGATATTTATGTGGGTAACTGTTGTATTTATGGTACCTCTCCAAGTGTCTTGTATAGTTCATGCTCAGTGAATTTTTATAAATAACAACCAACAACTCCAAGATTAAAACCATTGTACCTCGTTAAAGTGAATCAATGTGTCAAAGCTAAGGTACACATATAGATACTATGTAGAGAATGAAACCTAAGGTACACATATAGATACTATGTAGAGAATGAAACCTAAGGTACACATATAGATACTATGTAGAGAATGAAGTAAATTGAAAAACTTTTATGTTCTCCTTCAAAAAAAAAAAGTCCAAGGGTTACCAATGAGCCAGAAGCAAGAGAACAGCCTGGGCTCCTCCCAGTATCTTCACTTCTTAGATGAGGGCAGGGGGGATTCCTAATGCCAGGAGCTTCAGGGCCATCACCTTGGCAGTGGGTTTGACAAAGTTTGCCATCAGGACTGCTGGACCATGGGTCCTGCATGGAAGGCCCCTGGTGCGGTGCCTTGTGTGAAAAGTAAGTGGCTATTAGTTCCTTTAGTATTTGTGTTGCTAGTTTTTTAAAAAATATATTTTTATTGAAAATGTTTTTTCATAAAATATAATCTGGGTTGCCCTTCTCGTCTTATAATTTTTTGGAACGTAGAGAAAATGTAGCTCAGCAAGACAGGGAATAGCTAACCAGCCAGAGTGAAATTTCATGAATAAAATTAAATGAATCACCTCTCGTGTGAAAATCTGGGTGTGGATTAATTTCCACCACAAAGAAACATTTGAGTATGAATCAAGTACCAGCTTCCTCCTCCCTTCTATCTTCTTTTCCACTCAAATTACTGTGTTCAATTATTTACCAACTTCACAAACCCTAATGCCCCTTTCAGTTGGCCAAATTACACTGGCAATAATTGAATTAAAATGTTATTTCAGTAGCGGGCCAAAGAAGTTCTGGTCAAGAGTTCCAGACCTTGCTTTTCCATGCTTCCTCCTTATGTGTCGGGATCCTTTGCAGAGGGAAGGGTAAACCATGCAGTACACATGGTGTAATCAGCTGTCACTCCCATCCCTGCCCCAGGGCAGAACCCCTCTCTGTGTAGTTTGGGTCTGTGCTTAAAGATGATTGCATGTGCCAGTCAAGTGTTCTATGAGACGCTCCCTGTCTGATTCCCCACTGCAGTGTCCACCTCCACAAAAGAATATTGAGATCAGTGTTTCCTTCTCTCGGCCTGAAAAGAGACATACCTCCCAAGAGCCCGTCCTTAGCTCCTCTGCAGTTTCATCAAATCAACTTCCCAGACTCCCGAGTTGTGTTGGTTTATAGCATCAAACTGTACTGCTCAGCTCAGGAGACCCCTCTACAGCACTCCTCCTGTACTAGTGTTTGTGGTTTGGAAGGACTGCTCACGGTCTTCCACACAGGGCTGCAGCTCCTGCCCTCACCCCATCTACATGAAAGCATGGATCTGGCTCTCGTATGACACCCTGCTAACAATAGGCCTTGCAAAGGCCATAAGCTTACTGAAAGTTTGGGAGAACTGGAGCCTGCTGATTACATTTTGGGTTAGAATTTAATTAGTTAACCAGAAGAAGAGATTAACAATCATAAGGTGATTAAAATTAACAATTTTATTTTATTCTCCAAGTTCTTTTCCATAGTCTAAGAAATACCAATTTCAACACCGTAGTGTCTTGTGACAGATTACAGATCAGATGGAAAGTATCCCAACTTGTTTTACAAAATACCAACATTTTTCAACATGGATAAACAGTAGTAAATGCATGACTAATACAACCTGGAAGCTTAAAATTTCAGCCTGATGAGCTTTCTAGCAAATGTAGTAACATTTTAGAATACTAAGAGGAAAAATCCCTAAATCACCCAAACAGAACAGTAAGAGTGGGACAGTTTACACTGTGCACCCATCTGCTCTAGAATGAGGGCCCACTGCTTAGATCACTAACTCTACCTGACCTTATTTGGAAACTGCCATAGCACTAGAATGTGTCATGGCCAAAGCAATAGTATCATGTGCCAGGCTTTTTTAGCCTAGGCCCGCTCTTCCTCCTCTCTTAAAGCTTCGGCATATGACACTGAATATGATCTGGGATCACTCCCACTGATGCTGGCCAAAAACATCAAGATTTTCATCTTGGTTGTTTCAGCATAGGCTCTTGGGCCCCAGAGGAACTCATAGGAAGGAGGAGAGCTGCCAGACACTTGCCTGTACTCCAGGTACCCTTCTTGTACAAAATCATCAGTGATGAGCTTCCTGGGCTCACCATATATGAAGTGATCATTCCCAACATACACGCCTATGTTACTCAACATAGCCCATATCATGTCCTCACTGATACAGTTGCCTTTCATAAATATTATGCTCAATACCATTATCAGGAGGCCTGTCTTGGGTATGCCCTGGACATCAGTCATCATCCCATCATAGGTGAGCTCTAGGGCTATGACAAGAATGTAAGTGTGGCCATCAGGCTCTACTTTCTTCACCTCAATGCCGAAGATTAACTGCATGCACTCTAAGGCTTCTCTAAATATCACAGGGAAGTGGTCCTGATAATTTCTAATGATTTTATTCAGTATTTCTGCCTTGGTGACTGGCTCTTTCATTAGATACTTAAAGAGCAGATATTTCACCAGCTCATCTACTTTTGCATCTATTTCACCTTTAGACAATGAACAAGCACATGGCAGGACCTCTGAGGAATCCGGACTCTCCTCAGTTTCCGAGTCTGCACTGAACTGGCTACATGGAGAGGAGATCATGGCAGTACAAGAGGAGTCAGCTCCTGGAGGACTATGAGAAGGACCTGATGTCCTGGAGTCAACAAATGCCTCCTCTGAGGCGCTTGCTGTTGAACCACTGTAAGAAGAGGAAGAAGAAAAAGAAGAGGGGAAAGAGGAGGAGCAAGTAGAAGAGGATGAGGAATCTACTTCCCCTATTGAAACAGGAGCACTCATTAGATCCTGTGTTTCACTTTGGGCCTCGGGCTCTCCCTCAACCATACATCGCCTACGCTTGCAAGGTCTAGGCATGATGTCTCTAGTCTTGAACACCAGACAGAAGCACGATGATGTAGACCCAAAGACCTAGGGGAAGTAGAGGAGAGTGTAAGTATTCATTATTGACAGTCACCCCACTGGAAATGCTCACAAAGGCCAATAATGGGATTTCTCTTGTGTGATGCTCTAAAGTCACAAGGATTCCTGCCTTCCCAACAGGTCTGTCTGTTAAGAGACTGAAGGAAGTAGCAACAAATTTCCTCAGAATGCAACTGGGACAGAGAAGAGGCTTCTGGATTGCCAGAAGCCTCTTGTATGGGGCCAAGCAGAGTGGGTCTGCTATGTTTGGGGCACATGCGGCACATTCACAGTGAGTGCCTCAGCTTTGCCCCAGACCCCGCCTGGGTGTTCCCCAGTGTCTGACCTGAGGAAAACATCTCAGACCAAGACCTTCATCTCTTAGTTTCTGTGAGAGAGGATGTGGCACCCCATAGCCACAGACGGCAGGAACGGTACTGGAATCTCCATTCCTGACAGTAGACTGAATTACACTGTGAAGAGCTGTCCCACTCTCAAGTTCCCTCTGTGCTCACTCTGGGTTCTCCCTTAGCTCCTGTCAGGGACTGGACACCACCCAAGTGCTGGCCCAAAGCAAACACCTGGACCCTTCTCATCTGCTGGCCTGGGGCAAATTCCTGAACTGCACCCATCTGCTGGTCTGAGGCAAACTCCTGGACCCTTCTCATCTGCTGGCCTGGGGCAAATTCCTGAACTGCACCCATCTGCTGGTCTGAGGCAAACTCCTGGACCCTTATCATCTGCTGGTCTGGGGCAAATTCCTGGACCCCACCCACCTGCTGGCCCAAAGAGGAGCAATCCTCTCTGAAGCAGAACAAAGGACAATGAAGGTACTTTCATCTGGTAACAACTATTCAAGGGTGACAGCAAAAGGTATCCCAGTTTAAAAATTTAGTCCATGAGTTGGGGATGAGGGACCTGCCCAATCCTTACCTTGATGGCTCTACTTCTTCTGATGGCCTGAGGTCACCTGCCTTAAACCAAAGGCCCATTTCAATGAGATAAATGAAAGAGAAGAGGAGGAAATACATCCATAATTCCTAGGGTCCCTCCAGCTAACAGGATAGTAGGTAGGGACTGGGCTCCATCTGTATAGATGATTTGACTCACTCAGTTCTTACCTTGAGTCCTGGCACCCCTGGGAGCCTCCCTTGGATGACCTCAGTCACGATTCCTTTGACCAGGGTCTTCAGGTCCCTGAGACCAATGTTCTAGAAACAAGACAAAGGGATCAAACTGAAAATCCTGCCCAGGAATATGGGGCCACAGTAGATAGGTTTCTGTGGGCCCCCAGATGTGTCCTGAACCGGGGTTAGTTCCAACCATCCTCAAGGTTCCCATCTAGTCAGATGAGAAATCATGGAACCCCTGCAAATAACCAAGGTCACACACTCAAGTTGCTAAACTCCAAGAGATCCTAAAACCAATCCCAGGAGGTGTGAGCAGGTGCCACACTGCTTCTATGCTGAGTGGTATCCCCAGGGAAGCCTATACAGCCCAGCCTAATCTCTGCTGTGTTTCTTTAGTGTAGTGCATTCATCTGGCATGTCTCCTCTGACAGGTTCCCTTTACACTAGAACTCCTCTTCCCTAAGACTGGCCCAACCTTCCTGCCGAATGTAGTTCACGTAACTTTGCCATTTAGTTACCCATAGGGCTGGTCCCAGACACAGCCGAACAGCATAGTCCCTTATTTCTGGGCTGCGGACACATGCCATCGTCATGAAGGGTTCCTGTCTGGAATCTGGCTCCTTCTGGGACCCTTCCCTTTGTTTACCCTCTGAAGACCTTACTACCAGGGTTGTCACATCCCTGAGATCTCCTGTCCCAAGCCCTGAGGCAAAAGGGAGATCCAGCCACAATAACCACCCTTTCAGGGCTTGCCAGGCATCAGAACAAGGGCAGAGCTTATATTGGGGACAACGGGTACTTTCACATGTTCACTTCTTACCATGGCTGCTCACCTTGATTGCTGGCAGATGCTAGACACCTCCCCTGATAACCAGGTGTGACTCTCTCTGCTTTTCTAGCGATATCCCTCTCTCAGCCTCACCTTCCTGAAAGACACAGAAATTAGTATGGAGCCCATTTGAACACCTCTGGAGGTATTTCTCAAGACTGGCAGAAGGAACAGAGTGCACTCTTGCCTTGGGGATCTGAAAAATCTCCTATTTACTTCTCACAAGGCCCCTGCTGACCTCAGATCCATCATTCAGGGTCAGGCAGGCCACCTCTGATACCCACCTTATGCCTGAACATTATCCATGGTTTTCTGGTCTTAACTGACAACAGAGGCAGCTTTTATACGTATAGTATCAGGGGTCTCCTAGCTCCTTCAGCAATTGGAGGCCGTCACCTCAGAACAAGGCCTGATCCTCTGTTATACCCTACAGGTTGAAGCAAAGAAGCCCTCCATCAGGTCACTTTGCTCAGATCTGGAGGGAGTTTGGAGGTCTATCTATGATGTCAAGTGCAAGGGGCTCAGTCTTACAAGTGGGCTGCATTAATTGAGGATCCTTTTTCTAGAAAGTGTCTCCACAATCCACCTTCAGCAAGCGCAATGGTTATCTCCCCTCTAGGACCCTTACAAATATCTTTAAATTCCCAAGCCCACAGATGTGAAAGTAGAAGGCCTACCTGGTGCCATACTAACCAAAAGGGTTAAATTGCATTGTCTGGAAAATTCTGTAACCACAAAGTGAATAATCCATGCAAATTTCTGAAAAAGCACAAAAGCCCTTACATGGATTTCTCTCTTCTAGAAACCTTATAAAAAAGGATCCAAGTCCCCCAGCCACAGAAGTGGACATGGCAGTATGGTGGGGCTTATTCTTTCAAGTCACTACTGAACCATCCTCAAAGCAAAGATGCACCTCATCAGGTTACTCTGACCTCACAAAATGACTCTAAGCACCCCAGTTCCCTGTATGTGGATGCTAAAGGAGGGAGAACCCGTTTATGCAATTCAGCCAGTTTTTTTAGGACTATATAAAGGACACAGTGCAGTTAATAGTCCCCGCCATTCCATCTGGGGTGGGCTTCTGCAAGTCCCCATCCAGTCCCCACAGTGACTGAAAGAGGCCAGTGCTCCTCCTTTATCTGAAATTCCGAAATGGTTCCTAGGTGCCAAGAACTGTGAGGGCCAGGGGCATTCCTTCTAGTAGACCCTAATGGAATTATCATTTGGATACCCCTCTGGAAGAACTGAAGCTTTTGCATCCCACTCACGGCTTCAAAATACACCCTGAAAGGAAAGCTGCTCTCTATGCTAAAGACCTCTAGACATCATTTCTCAATATGGCCCACAGTGACCGATGGCAAAAGGCTTAATAATACCCCTGTGCCACTGTTTAAAATAGTGCTCATCACAGGGGTGCAGCTACAATTTGAGGTTCCCTGTACTAAGTGCACTTCCCCAGGCCACTCTCCATTGGGACCAGACAGACTTTAATCCCAGACAAAAGCAGGCTTCTATATGGGAACCTCCAAGTGAGCCTCATTTGTTGCCATGCTATGAAGTTTCACAGTCTGTGATCCCTCTTCCTGAAAAGATCCCTTTCCACCCAACCTAAGCATTCACTTCAACTCCGGAAGTGCAGCAAATCTGCCTCCCTTACTTGAACCTCACAAAACAATGCCTAGTTCCCCAAAGTCCCTGGTTTCAAAAGGCCAGGGAGGGGCTCTTTCCCAGAAATCAGCAGTAAGGGATCTTTTAAACTCAAGGAGCCTCCCAAAATGGTTCTCATCCCCTCACCCCTACTTGGTACCTAGATGTGGAAGCTTTAGGAGGGGCTCTTTCCCACAAGTCAAGCACTAAATCGTCCTTTAAACTCAAGGAACCACACATAGCGGCTTTGAACTCCCTTAGTCCCCGGGGCATTCACGGAACTAGATGGTTCCTGTTTGCTCCTGTGGGCCCCACTTGTGTCTAAGTCGTCCCCAGGCAAGGGTTGCCTCAGTAGAGGTCCACTTCTCCTCAAAGGGCCCGTTTCTTGCCTCATGAAGTGCTCACCTCAACCCTGAAAGCGATGCGCTGCCATCTCCCTTCCGGGAACCGCACAAAATGGCGCTGAGCCCCAAAGTCCCCGGATGTGTCAGGCTGGCTGAGGAGGCTCTTTTTCCCCCTAATCAGCACTGATGTGCCCTTTAAACTCAAGGAACCTCACAAAATGACTTTGAAATCCCCTGGTCCCCGCATTTGGAAACTTGAGGAGGCGCTCATTCCCACATGCTCATCTAAGTTTGATGCAGGGCCCTCAAAAGGACACGATGTATCTCAGGTCTGTGTATGTAGAGCACTTACTCAGCTTCAACGTGGACTCCCATCACATGGTTCACTTCTCTCTGGGAACCTCCAAAATCACTCCTACGACGACGTTTTCCCCTAGATAGAAGAAAAGGGGCTCATTTACACAACTGAACCCCTATTTGGTGTAGCCTACCACACCAGCAGAGCTATATTATATTATGTTCTTATACCCAGCTCCCACAGCCCATACTCTCAGTCTGAGGATTCCTGGAGACTTATCTGTACCCTTGGGGGACCCGCTAACCACAGCTTTAATTTCGCTCCACAAGCAGCACTCTCTTTTTTCTCTCTGGAATGTCCAAAAATAGCACCCCAGAAATGGAGGGGCTAGAGTCTCCTTACAACAGTTAGAGGCCACCTTATATCAAGCTAACTTGGGGAGTGAATTTACACCATTTGGAGACCCTCTGGTCTGGGATGTTGCCTTTAAACCTCCCCCCCCCACACACACACACAGACTTTCAGCTCAACCCCAAAACAGCATAACTGTCTCCTAAACAGCATAACTGTCTCCTGTCCAGAAATAGCAGAAAAAGACTTCAAGTCCCTCCAGTCCTTTGATGGGAATGCAGAAGCTTCAGGACGAACTCATCCTCACAAATCAGTCTAAGTTTGGTGCAGAGCCCTCAAACAAATACTGACGAAAC